TATAATCCTGAATGGGAAAAAAACAAAACAAAACAAAACAAAAAAAACGGACATTTAATGAACTCAAAGACTTTCAGGTTTTTGTGACAATAACCCCAGATCTTAAGTGAAAATTCAACATATAACATCTAAGAGAAGTATAAGGTAAACATTAAAGACCAATTATAAGGGACTTAATAAGGTCAAATTGTTTACTTCATATATGTGAAAATATTAACAGTACTCATGATTGTCATCATTATTTGGGTAGTTTGAAAGAAAGGTGTGGGCTGAGCTGAGTATGATGGGGTGATTATAAAAAAACTGTGTAGGGAGAGATAAAAAGGAGTAATTATCTCATACAAATGAGGCATAAAAGGAAAAAATTACATAGAAGAAGCCAATAGGGGAGGAGGGCAGGTAGTGCTGGAACCTTACTCTTATCAGGAATGGGTTAAAGAGGGAATGACATGTATATCTAGAAGGGTATAAAAGTCTTCTAAATTCAGAAAGAAATGAAAGGGCAAGGGAATAGGGTAGGGGGAAAGGATAAGGGAGGGACTCTTAGAAGGGTAGGTAGGTTAAGGAATAGGAGGGCAAGGTAGTGGGTAAAAGTGAAGCAGAGAAGTGAGGAGGGATAGGACAAATAGGGTGAGGATAGTGAGGAAAAATAGAAAGGAGGAAAAAACACAAGTAATTGTAGCTTAGAATGTGAATGGGATGAATTTACCCATAAAACAGAAATGGATAGCAGATTAAAAATTTGAATTAAACATTATGTTGCTTTCAGGAAATATTATAAAAATAAGAGATACACAGAAAGATAAAATAAAGGACAGGAGTAGAATTCAGTGAGTTAAAAAAAAGTGGGGATAGTAATCATGATCTCAGACAAAGTTAAAGTTAAAATAGATTTAATCAAAAGTGAAAAATAGAGAAATTACACTGTGTCAGTAATTCAATATTGTTTAGACCATTTAAAATACCTAGACAGCATAAAATACCTTAACATATACCTACCAGAACAAAGACAGGAATTTTATGAACATAAACATAAAACACTTTTTATACAAATAAACTCAAATCTAAATAATTGAATGGTTATTGTTCATTGGTAGGTAAAGCCAATATAAGTTTTAAAATGATAATTTTACCTAACTCATCTATTTATTCAATGTCATCCCAATTAAATTACTAAAAATTATTTTACTGAGTTAGAAAAGATAATAACAAAGTTCATTTGGAAGAGCAAAATCAACGCATGGAAAGACTTGGACTTACGAAGGAAGATGCTATCCACCTTCAAGGAAACTGATGATAGGAGAAAATAAGCATAGTACAGTCTTACATATACGTATGTGAGTGTATATGTGTATATATGTGAATGTTTATAGATATCTATGCATACATATATACATATCTCCACACAGCTATGTATATATATATATATATATATATATATATATATATATATCTCCACACTTAATTGTAGCCTTCTTTAGGGTGGTGGTGGGGAGGGAGGAGAAAAAAAAAACAAAGTAAAAAGTACACAGCAAAGAACAAAAGAAAACCAACAAAAGAGCAAAGCTAGGCAACTTTGAAAACAATGTGTAGTAGTTATTATACAGGTTTTCTTGAAATGAAAATTTATTATTTTATATTGAATCCTCTCCTGTGGTCTGCTGTATACATTGCAATGTTTTTTTCCTCTTTTCTCATTCTGTATTTAAGTTTAAAATAAAAACTTACAAAAACACCTAGATATTTAAAAACTGCTAAATATTTGCTAGGGTATATTTTATTTTAAAACATAATAATTTACTATAATAAGGAGTACATTTTCATTTGAGAATTTTTGGCTATCACTCATAAAAATTATGAAAATGTATAGGGTGGCTTAAAAATGCAACTTGAATATATTGAGTTATCTATCAGCTATTTGCTATGTGTCTGAAACCCTAGGATGAGGTTTGTTTTAATTTACAAGTACAGGATGAATGAAATGTAACTGTTAGGGAAATGTGAGAAGTTAATAGTATTCAAGCCCTAAGTTGTGGTTAGTGGAATTTTGCTATTTGAGGAAAAAAACCCTTGAGACAACAATTGACTATTGTTTTGAGTTTTGATTACAGGAATAGTTGTCTGAACTGTCATGAAGCCAACAGTAGAAAATGGCATGGGCTACAGTCTGAGAACTGCTATAGGTGGATGTCTGTCTCTGGGAAAGGTTCAACCATTCTGGAAAGCAATTTGGAATTATGCGAGAAAAATTATTAAACTCTGCAGATACATTGAGCCAGTGAAGCTACTAGCGACTCAAGAAGGTCACAAAAGATCCCAACAATGTTCATAGAAGCATCATTTGTGATATCAAAACTCTTGAAACAAAATATGTGTACAATGATTGGAGAATGGCAGAACAAAAGAATGATCTATAAACATCATGGAATATTTCTGGACCGTAAGAAACGACAGATATGAAGCATTCCTTGGGACCTGAAAAGGCTTCTATACATCTGTACAGAAAGAAGGAAGCAGGGCCAGAAGAACAACATACAAAATGACCATAAGAAGTCAAGAGAAAGGCAACAAGCATTGTTTAGCTCCTACTTATGTGCCAGGCACTGTGCTTAATGCTGAGGAAACAAAGAAAGGCAAATAACAAAAACAGAACAAAAAAAAAAAAAAAAAAAACAGTTACTGCCCTCAAGGAGATCACAATCTAACGGGGTAGATAACATGAAAATAACTAAGTACAAATAAGATATGGACAGGATGAAACAGAGATAAGTCAGAGGGAAAGCACTAGGGTTGAGGAGGTCCAAAAAATGTTTTTTGTATAAGGTTGGATTTTAGTTGAAACTAAGGTAGACATGAAGAGAAAGAGAGTTCCAGGCATGGAGGACAGCCAGTGAAATGCCCAGAGATGAGCATTCATAACAATATAAATTTGTAACACTATAAAATCAACATTTAACAAAACTCTGGTCCAAGAGAAGAGTTAATCTTAGCACAATACTATCAGTGTGAAAGGGCTCATCACTACTTTCTCTCAATAGTTGATAAATGACCTGTTTTTCAGGGAATGTACTTTGCAAGAGGATTTGTTGGGAAATGTTTGCTGTGGTAGAACCAAAGGCATTACTGTGAGGCAGCATGCAAAGAGCCCTGACATGGATTCAAATCCTGCATCTGATACTTTATTCCTATTACTTTGTATTATTTCATGCAACTGACAACTTCTTGGGGCCTCATTTTCCTCATCTGTAAAATAAGGGGGTTGAACTAGATGACCTCTGAAGTCCCTTTTACCTGTACATATTAATAATGTAGCACTTTAAATTATCTTGTTTTATCCTCACAATAACTTTGGAAAGTAAATGCTATTATTATTCCTGTTTTACAGATGAAGAAACTGAGGCAGGCAGAGGTGAAGTGACTTGCTCAGGGTCACACAGCTAGCTAAGTGCCAGAGGCTGGATTTGAACTCAGGTCTCCCTGACCCCAGATACATCACTCTATTCACTGTGCTGCGGTGATCCTAATACCTTCATTTTTCTCATCTGTAAAACAAGAAGTGGACCAGATGGCCTTTAAAGACCCTTCTGTGACCTCTGACCCTTCTGTGGTCTTCCATGACCTATGATCCTGAAAATATATTGAATAATGATAATGATAATGACGGCAATGATGATAAACTGGCTTCCCTACCTTTTGGGATCCTAGTTCAGTCCTCTAGAGCTAAACAAAACAAGATTAAATCTTCTTCCACACAACAGCCTTTCCAACACTTAAAAGACACCCATTATGTTCTCTCCTCCCGCCAAATCTTTTCTTCTCTTGGTCAAACAACTCCCAGAGGAGAACATAACTTGGAGCTCTCCTTGGCTTTGGTTCCAGGGCCATGGTAAGTCCCTTAAAGTGGAGCCAGAAGAATGTGGAAGGGACTGTTAGAGGGATTTGTGGGTAAGAGGCCTCCATCTACGCTTACACACAGAGACCCACACCGAGAAAAACAATTTGCCATCGGCTACCTGAATGACCTCAGGAAAGTCATGAAACCTTTCTGGCCTCAGTTTCATCCTCTGGAAGATGAGGGAATTGGACAAGATAACCTCTCAACTCTCTTCTAGGTCTAGATTTATGATCCATTGATCATTTTATGTTTTATAAATACACACAGATACAATGCGGCCCGAATGTCCCCCCCCCCACTTCCTCCTTTCCCTACCCCAAGGGGATTTGTGAGCCAAAGGGACCTGTGGATCTTGAGCAGGGGAGTTCTCTTAATTCTGTACCTCTTGCTCTGTCATATCTCCCCATCTGGCCTTTACCACAATTCAATATAACACAACACAACACAACACTACACAACACAATGAGTATTGATTAAGCATGTACTGTGTACAAAGACCTGTGCTTGCTGAACACAATTTAAATAAAATCTGGTAAGCACACACAAACACACACACACACTTAATTGTAGAATATCAGACCTAGGAGATCACCTAATTAAATTCCCTCATTTTACAGGTGAGGAAACTGAGGAACAGAGAGGGATTGTGACTCAACCAAGATCACACAGCAAGTTAGTGGCAGAACGAGGATGACAGCCCAGGTCTCCAGACTCCTTGCTCACTGCTTTTTCTTCTATACTCTACACTCCACCCTAACACCCCTGTCATCCTTTATGGGGAAAGACTCCTGAGATTCTTGATCCCCAAAATGAGCCTGAATGACCAGGTTCGCAAAAAGGTCTAAGGTGAAGGCAGTCCAGTCTGGCATTGAAAAAGAGGACGCACTTTTATCATTTCTCCAGGTCTGCCCTGCCCTAGGTGGTGCCCCAGCCATTCCTAACTCCCAAGAAACAGAAAATACCCACCCTGATTTTTCCTCAACCTTCCCTTCTCACCCTTCCCTCACCCTACCCAGTAGGTATCCCCTCCTACTGAGCCACCCTTCTCCAGCTCAAGCAAAAAAAAAAAAAAAACAACAAAAAACCCAACAACAACAAATTCTACCTGTTCTGGAGCGGGGAAGCTGGCCATCTGACAAAGTTGGGGCCCAGAGAAACTGACTGCCTTGGAACTTCCTATTTCTCTGATACTTAATCCCCTGACTTGGGGCGGTTTGGAAACTGATAGGCAGGAGGGGAAGAGAGGAAGTCGTAATTTTGCAGAAGCTTTGTTTCTGAATAACTTTTTTTTTTTGGGTAATCAACATAGAGTCATTCAAATAAGAGGAAAGACAAAGTGGGTTTTTTTTTGGTTGCTGTTTGTTTTGTCTTTTTTTTTCATTTTCTGGAAGTGAAGGATAAAGTGGACTTTTCAGAATAGCCAATATCTATCAGTGTGTCGGACTGTCTGACACCTGTTTGGAGGCAGTATCTCATAAAAGAACACTAGGACCTAGGGAAATGTGATAGAATCCTGGCACAAATATTTACTAGCTGTATGACCCTGAGCAAGTCATTTGATTTGTGTGAGCATCAATTTCCACATCTGCAGAATGGAGTTAAATGTTATCTACCCTTCCTTTTTTTGAGGCTATCTTAAGAAGCAAAAGCAGAAATGGATTTGAATATCACTTGTAAAAATCGAGCACTCTAAAATTTGGAGGTGGAGGGGACAACCAGACATGTGATTTCAAGTGTGGAAATTCCTTCTTCCAATGCAGGTCTCGGCAACTTACAGTCTTAGAGTTGCCAAGGGCACTGAGAGGTGGTAACTTGCCTAGGGTTGTGCAGTGAGAGTGTGAGGTCTTCCTGACTCCAAGAACAACTCTTTCTACTACACCCTAATTGCCTCACACTCTAAAAATGAAAATTAATTTTAAAACATGATTAAAAAAGCCCACTAAAGAAAATAAATGCCAAGTCATTCCTCCATGATCCTGTTGAAGAAAGACCATGGTCTGGGTGGGAAACATGGCAGCACCTCCAGTATTCTAAAGCTGGAGCTATTAGAAAGGAGAGTTGAACTCAAAACTTCAGTTGTGCTCTGACCAGGACAGAGAAGGGCAGAGCCGTCCTCACTCTCATTCCCCACTCCACAATTTCATCCATGTACCTCCAAGTGCTGTACTTGGGGTCCCATGCTGGTTCAATGTCACCACTCTTTCCCGTTCTAAGCAATCACAGACCATCCCTTTAATAATTCCTTCTGGAGTTTCATCATAAACCAAAGTCAAGCTCACTGGCCTATTGTTGGAAGAGTCAGACTCCTCCATTTTTGATGCTCAGGAAAACACATGTGTGTTTCTAATAATGTAGCATCCTGACATTCTGGTCTAAATCCTGGGTTGAGCATTTTCTGTAATATATTAAACAGTGGCTTCCAATGAGCTTACATTCTTAAGGTGACAAGGCTTTGAGTTTCCCTTAAGACTTTCTAGTCTCTCAGAGGGAGGGCTAGAGTTTGAAGCTAGAGTATTTTAGGGTAGTTTGGGTCCCCCACCCAACTATCCCTCAGATGAGGGCTAAGGAGTCAGTAGAGCTTCAGGTCTACTGACTTTACTGGATCTGGATCTCCCTGATGTCATGGTCCTCTTCGAGAATGAAGGACAAACAACAACCTCTGTGAGTAGAGAAGGAGCTGTCCACTGGGGACCAAACTTCAATTGGGGAACATGTCTTTCTTTCTTTCTTCCTTCCTTCCTTCCTTCCTTCCATCCTTCCTCTCTTTCTTTCTTTCTTTCCTTCTTCCTTTTCTTTCTTTCCTTTCTTCCTTTCCTTTCTTTCCTTCCTTCCTTCCTTCCTTTCTATCTTCCTTCCTTCCTTCCTTTCTTTCTCTTTTTTTCTTTTTCCTTCTTTTCTTTCTTCTCTCTACACAGAGTATCACACCCTTACCTGGTGCTCTGCCCAAAGAGAATGTAAATCTGTATGTATGTAAAATTTACTGGATGGTAGTAAAATCTACCATCCAGGTCTTAATATTTCCTATGTGATCCTTGAAAATTCACTGTCCCTCTTCACTGTAAGAAATGAAGACTAATAAGAGATACTCATAAACATAAAAACAAAGATCAGGAAGTAGATTTTGAAGTAGAAGATCAGAGGTAGAATTTGTTAGGGAAAGTATATGTCTATATATGTATGTGTATATATGTGTATGTATATATCTATATCTACATATCTATATCTATCTATCTGTCTGTCTATCCATCTATCCATGCTTAATTGTGGCCTTCTGGAGTGAGGGAGGGGGAAAATCGCAAAGTAAAAAGTACACAGCAGAGAACAAAAGAAAACTGACGAGGAAGCAAAGGAAAGATGGACAGTTCTCGACAGTTCTTGAAATGGAAATTTATTGCTATATATTTTGAATCCTTTCTTATGCTCTGCTGTGCACGTGACATGCTTTTTTTCTTTTCTTAATTTTGCATTTAAGTTTTAATGTTTAAGTTTATAATGTTTCTTTTTCTTTTCTTATTGTGTACTTATTTTAATATTCAAGTCTAAAATAAAAAAATAAAATAAATTGCATAAAAAAGAAAGAAAAAAGAGAAAGAAATGAAGACTAATGGAGAAGTTAAGAAAGATATCATGAAATAAACTAAAACAAGAAAACAATATACACAATGATTACAACAATGTAAATGGTAAGGATAACAGTAACACACACAAAAAGAAAGAAATACTGTAGAATTATAATCACCAAGCTTGATCTTGAAGGAGATATGAGAAAATTCACCTTCCTTATTTTTAGGGGTAAAGGAGGGATATGTAGGGAATCGAAGATGATGTTAAAACAAAAGATATCAATAAAAATATTTAAAAGAAAGAAAAAGCTATTTTCCATTTCTAGATATCTGTTTCCTTAATTGTAAAATGAGCAAGTTGGGCTAAGTGAGGTTCCAGCTCTGACTTTCTCTGGCTTTGGGATTGAAGGCTTCATGGGCAACGGCATCTCTTTGCCCTGTGGCAAGGCTCTGACACCTTCCACTTTCCACATGCCAACCCAGCCATGACTAAAGAGACTAATATTGAAAGTTTGATGACTCAGGAGCCAGTTAAGTTTTGCCCTGTCCCAAGCCCACAGATGCCAACCTGCCCTGATACTAACCACTTCTCTTGCAAATGTGATATGTGTCCTCGTTTGGAAAAAGAGTCTCCCCTAACAGAGCCAGCCCCATGACTGGGGACACACTCAAAGCCCAGGCCCCTCATGGTGGGTCTGGAGCCTTAGTTTCATATGCAATGGGACAATGAGTACTTACACATTCATCCATTAAGTTGACACATATTCTTAAGGTTGCCAAAACTCCCAGTCCCAAGGGTATAGGGAAACTCAGCTTTAAGTAATAATCATAGCTAACATTTGTATATTGCTTCAAGTCTTACAAAAGCACTTTACATCCATGATGTCACTGGATTCTCCCTATAACTCAAAAAGGCACATATTACATTATTCCCATTTTACAGAAGAGGAAACTGAGGCCCAGAGAGGGCACATGGCTTGCTTAGGCTCATAGAGCTGAAAGCTCAGAGATGGGAAAGGAAGCCAAGTCTCTTCTGTCTTCAAGTTTGGGTCCTGTCCACTGAACTACCCTGCCTCCTTTAGGGAGCCTGCTTCTTTGGCTGTTTGCCTCAATCTGGTAGAGCCCTGCTTTCCTATCAGCCCACCAAAGCTTTCCAGTTTAATTGGATTTTCAATGGACTCCAGATCTCACTTTTGGAGATAATTTTTTTGAGTCTTATGGAAACTTCCCTGTTTTACAAATCTCCTTTTTCACGTCGATCCCTAGCTGGTGATCTCCTTTCCAGATCTCTGACTTCTATAAAGAAATAAAAAAAAAAAGAACTACATTAGTATTAGCATGGTACAGCCAATAAGGTGGGGAATTTAGCATCAAGACTTTGGCTCAAACCCTGTCTCAGACTTTTTTTCAGCTGTGTGACCCTAGGCAAGTCACTTAACCTCTCTAGATCTCAGTTTCCTTTTCTGTAATATGACTAGTTTGGACTGGATGACCTCCAAGGGCTGTCCAGCTCAGATCTAGGACCCTAGAAATCATTCGTATTCTATATTTCTCCTCCACAGCATTTATTCTCAGAAGAACTTTTATGACATTCTGAGCCCATCCCCCAATCTTCTCTTTCCTATGCAAGTTCAAATATTCAATACTTTAGCAAACCTTGATTAAGCATCAACTGTGAGCAAAGCTCCACTGCTGGGAGAATAAGGACAAGGACGTTCTATCCAGTGGATGCTATCTTCAATGGACAAGAACAGGGCAGCTAGGGGGCAGAGTAGACAGAACACTAGTCCTGAAGTCAGGAGGACCTGACTTCAAATCTGACCTTACACACTTACTAGCTGTGTTACCCTGGCCGAGTCACTTAACCTCTATTGTCTCCCCCCCTCCCCCCCCAAAAATAGACATATGGAACATTGGAAGAGAGGTGAGTTTAGGAGAGAATGAATGAAAAGCCTTTATTGTGTGCCATGCATTGTCAAAGATACAAACAGATAATGGGGAGAGACAATGCATGAAGGGGAGCTTTGAGGGAGGGGAGGGTCTGGTTTGGAAATGACCAGGAAGTGATACAGATGCCTGTATCAGGTAGATACCTGACCAGGCAGATCAGATGAAAGGTCATTTATCAGAACTCCCAGCCCCAGGGGCAGAGACTAAGAATAAGGAGGATGGTCAGAGTACAGGCAGCAGCATTTGGACGTAGCAGGGAGAATGAGTTCTGTTTAGGAATCTGTTGAATTTAATTGATCACTCAATTTAATTAATTTAATTAATCTATTGACAAGCATTTATTAAGCACCCACTGTGTGCCAAGCAAAGATCAAAAAAAACAAAAAACCCAAGGTAGTCCCTGCCCTCGGGGAACTTATTTTCTACTAAATACTAATGAGATATCCAGAGGAAGACATCCAGAAGTTAGTGAGTTAGGAGAAAGATGAGGGAATTCTCCTTTCTCCCACCTTTATCGTCACATTCTCCCTTTCCTCTCCTTTTGCCTTTCTGTCTTTCTTTCTAGAAAAGTCTCAATAAAGCAGTTGAAAGGGACCCTAGCCATCATCTAGTCCACCTTTCCTCGTAATCATCATAGGGATGATGAGACAGAGGTCCAGAGTGGTGGGGCTC